ATGTTAAGTTTCAGATTCTTTCCATTCCCCATACCCTATATGAGCTAACAGTATCATTGAAGAGATGACATGAATGCTGTTTACAGGAAAATTTATCTTTAAACACTCAATTACATTCAGGGTATTGAGATGTTCACACTCTGAAAGGCAAGTAGGAAATGAGACTAATTGAAGAAAAAGAGGTCCCTGCCTCCTTCGAACTCATGTTGGTCACATGCTCATGGAGGAAGGAAGTAGGAATCATATCTCTCATTAGTTGCATTGCAATTTCCTCCTTCCCTTCGCTTTCCTTCCTCCCCTCCCCACTTTCCTCTCTTCCCTTCCTCTCACCTCTCTGTCCCTCTCCCATTGAATAGCTTAAATCATGTGACTCATATGGGCATATGATGCTCCTCTACTCTAATATAATCTGTGGTTCCCTTGTCTATCTGTTCCACTAGGCTATAAATTTCTTGAAGGTTAGACCTATTTTTATTCAAATTTGATTCCTCAATATTTGATTATATTAAGGGAAAATGTGGATTTGGGAGTGATCATGGCATTGGGGTTATGTATTTTTAAAAGTTTCTTGAACATTGGAATATTTAGAGATGGTATGCCTTAAAATAATATGGGAATTAGGAGGATGGTAGTAATGGTGTGTGAATGGGGCAACAGACATAGTTTGATGGCTGTAAACATGTGATGGGCATGCATAGATGAATTAAAAGTAGACTCGTATCTGTAGAAAATGATTTTGTATATTTGTGTGTCAAATTCTCCATAATACACATTTTTTAACATTTGGATTTCTCACTGCCTTGCCCACCTCCTGACATGGTAAGCAGTTACTCTCTGTGGAAGACTTAATGATCAAAAGAGCAGTACAGTCAGTGGTCTCTGGATTCATGTTCATGAAGCTATGGGGTGTGGGGGTGAGGGGAGAAAAAACAGTTGAGCTTGGAGGAAACACAGAGGCCCCTTGGTCCAGAAAACAGAGGATTTGGTCACATCTAACTTCTTCTTTCACCAAATACTATGTGCAGACAATAAGCCAGAACTGAGAACACCATGGCAGATGAGAGAAGGTCCCTGCCATTAGAGATCTTATAGTTGTGCTAATGAAAGCCTAGGTC